CCCCCCTTTTCTCTCTCTCTCTCTCTCTGGTGTGCGGGTGTGTTGATGTTCAAAGACTACCGTACTTTACCACTGCTGTTTACTGGAAATTTCAGCCTATCATCTTATCAGACAGTGGTAGACTGACTGAACAATGTGCAAAGTTTTACCTGGATTTATAACACATTAAAAAAAATAATTAACAGGATTTTAATCGAAACTATTTATTTATTCTGCAAATTTTAAAAAACAAATTTTCACCTTGAACGAAATCCTTCTTCCACTTCCCTCCCAGTGGAATTTATCATAAACGATGAATTTTCTCCACGCATCGAAAAACCATTTTAGAATCGGGGTTTGCAACTGCAGTAACCTGTAAGTAATCGAACCATTGTGGGACGAAAACGGGTACGGCGAAATTCAAGAATGAAAAATGTAGGACGAAAACGGGTTCTCCCGCAATGTGTGTTCAGTAGCCTCAGCGCGGCTGGTACGAATGACTTTCTATTTATATATCTGGGGTGGGGTTTTTTTTGGGTTTTTTGTTGTTGTTTTTTTAGTTTCTTTTTTTTTTTTTAAACAGTCGTTTACTGCGGGTACTAGAGGTAAAGGAAAAATAAAGTATGACCGCCCACTGGCTCCCTCCAATCCTCCATTTGTGTCTTTAGTTTTAGTAAGAGTTTTACGGCACTTGCAACACAATAAGGTCATATTAAAAGTGCCGAAGATTAGAAGTGTTACAAGAGAATAACAAACATAAAAAGGAAGGAGGAGAGATAAAGACGATTGTAGTTTGATAGGAAACAAGAAGCAAACTACGCCAGAGCATCCGCCAACCACCCACAAAACAGTCGTTTACTGCGGGTAGTAGAGGTAAAGAAAAAAAAAGCATGACCGCCTACTGGCTCCCTCCAACCACCCATTAGAGTTTTTAAAACAAGACCCTGTACCAACACTGTCCTCAAACACTTCAACACGAAGGAAAGTGATAGCATAGTAATCTTTAGCTGTCCCCGGAGTTTTATGCACCTCGCATAATTTAGCAAAATTTAATCTTTTTTTTTTTGGTGCATAATTTCTGATTATTTTCCTTTATCATTCTTTATTAAAATTAACAGATTCACATACTTTCACAATTTTGGGCTCAGTTTGCATAATTTCAGAATTCTTTTGGTATAAAACCGCGGTGACAGGTTTAGAAAAAGAAAGAAAGAAAGAAAGAAAGAAAAAAATGTAGATCAGTTGGTGTCAATCTTTTTATAACTAGCGCCCTTTTTCCCCTACCATAAAGAGGCTTAAATATTTGTACCGCCCACCACCTACATGTATTTCTATTTCCAAGTAGGTCATTCATAAATAACGCCTGTCACTACCCGGGTGGCCCCACCACCCATAAAAATGACCATATATTAAGAGAGAAGAGGGGAAAAGAAAAATGGAGGAGGAAGGGGACGTGTGTTGTTTTAGTAGAGGTTTTACGGCGCTCGCAATTGCATAAGGTCATATGAGCGCCAAGGGGTGGATGTCAACAGAGAAGTCCTTACAGGGAATCGGGCTTACTCAGCTCACCTCTCTAGCCTTAACAACACAAAGTGTGCTTCGACTATCAAGGCACCCCGGAAATAGCAGTTTACAAGAGAGAGGCAAACATACTAAATAAGTAGAGGAAAATGACGATAGTAAGGATGGGGAAAGAAAAAGCAGCAGTTCCTTGTTGCAATTCCGGCACAGTTATGAGCATGACATAGATAAATCAGTCCATTTACAATAACAATTCTAAAGTGCAACAGAACATGGTGATGCACCCCCCCCCCCTACTTTGGGAATGGCCTAAAGACACTTCAGTCAGTAGCACAGCCCCGGGGGGTGTCAAGCATCGACAAGCGAGTTTAAGACGTGACGAGAGTTTTAGTGTTAAATTATACTTTTGCCCTCATCTACACTATTTTGATAATTTAAGAGACAGGTTGTTTCGAGCCTGTCTGTCCGGGCTAAACAGGGCTGAGAGGCATACGACGTCCCAGGAGACAAACGGAGATACTAGACTTAAATAAAATCTTCCCACATGGGAATCAAACTCACGTCTTCTGCTCGCGAGGCAAAGCCCCTAGCTACCACCTGTCCCCGAGGTATTATGCACGCCGCATAATTTAGCAAAATTTGATCTTTTTTGGGGGCATAAATTCTAATTAAGTTCCTTTATCATTCTTTGTTAAAAATTAACAGAATCGCAAAATTTCACATTTTTGGGCTCAGAATCGCATAATTTCAGGGTTTTTTTTGGTTCTTACATAAAACCGCGGGGGAGAGTACCGGTACTACAATGTACACCTCCAGAGACGTCAGTCCACCTTAGAGTGGTGGAAACATCCAGAACCACGTACAAGAAGTGACAACAGCTTCAGCGTAGTGAAGAAGACAGTATAGCGACATACCCTCTGTACACAAAGCGGCACCTCAAAAGAATTCAAACATGCATATCAAACAGTCGGGCCTGAATTTTGCCGTAAAGTAAACGAACAAAGAAGGGGCTACTTGAAAGGAAAGGAGAATGACACGTGAATCAGCTTAAATTTTTTAACTCGAAAAGCCAAGATTCATACTCGAAAAGCCAAGATTTATATATTATGTAAAAAAGAAACACACACACAGACACACACAGACAAACAGACACACACACACACACACACACACACACACACACACACACACACACAC